AAAAAAACAGCAACATATGAGAACATGTCCCAGTGTCCCACCCTCTCATTCAAATCTGCTGGTTGGCTGCCTAGATTTCTTTTTCTCCCTCTGTTCTTATTCTTCTCCTAAAAAGAAGGGAAACTGAGAATGACAGAGTAAGTGGAAAGAATTGTCTGAAATCCATGGTTATCTCTCAGACTTGAAAATACCACTGAGTGATGATTATTCCAAGTTAATGCTATGGACTGAAAATGGTGCAAAAAAAAGGACAAATAATCGGGCTCAAATTACCATATTTTGGATACATGAAGACCTAACCTTTTTGAAAGCCTATAATTCTGGGAAAGGTGGAAGGAAAAACAGGATGGCCAGAAGTATGATGGATGGACTCAATTACAGTGACAAGAGATCCATTATTAGAAGATCTGCAGGACCAAGTTGGAAACAGGTTATCTTAGGGAAAATCTATATGGTCACTAAGAGCTAGCTGTCTTGATTGCACATAATCAATCATTCATACATGACTATCCAACAGTAAAATTTATGGAATAATTAGCACTTAATAGCAAGTAAATAAGTATGGAATTCCATTTCCAATTTCTGGAAACAAATTTATTAAATTTTATGGGAATTGCTATTGCACTGTAATAGCCAATGTGCATATAAAATCAAAGAACTTGATTAATATTTATGGGGTTTTAGCTTAAGGAAAGAGAAGTTGAATAAAGGATAGCCTAATATAATTGTATATAATACGTTACACATGTGAACAAAATGGATGTGATTCATGTTAGAACTCAAGGTCAACCCAATGAAATTGAATATTGGGAGATTTAGGACAGATTAAAAAAGAAATTATTCTTGAAGTAATGCACAGCCAAATTGTGGAATTCATTACCAAGAGAGGTAATGATGCAAAAATAGAAGATCAGACCAGTTTATGGCTGCTAAATTTATTAATGCCTGTTAGTCACGTTTTCTACATATTATACCCAGTTTTGGAGAGTTAGCTTATAATACCAGTTATTGGAAAATGCAAGATCCAATTATGTGTTGCTTGAAGTCTTCCTATGGGCATCTGGCTTTCTTTGTGAGATCTTTTTCTTCAGTCCAAAATGTTGTTATGTCATAATGTTCAGTGTAGAGCATGAAATAAGCCACTGAATACTTCATTACTCTAAAGCAGTGATGGCTAACCTTTTTGTCATTGTATGCTGAAAGTGTGTGTGCACGTGCGCAACAGCGCATGCGTGTGCCGACACCCATAATGCAATGCACCCTCTGCGCATGCGTGCATGAACCCCATGCATGCACCCCCACCCTGTGCATGCACCCTAGCCCTCCATGCATGCACCCTGCCACCGCACTCCCACGCTCTGTTCTGGGCCTGGAAATCCTCCTGCACCAACCTGGAACCCAAAACATGGCGGGTGGCTACTTCCGGCCAGTTGCTCCCCTGTGCCCGCCTTCCTGCCTGCCTTGCTGCCCATACAAGCTGTAATTAATTCATGCAATTCATACCAAAAGAGGTGATGGTGGTTTCAATGATTTAAAGTTTGTGTGGGGAGTAGGAATAGGGAAATATTAGGTTTTATATTTAAATAGAATTTCTGTGTTATTACAACCCTTTTTACTACTTTTTTCTGTGGGTTAAGACTTAAGGTATTTTCAAAGATATTCTGAGGGTAGAAACTAAACAATAGTGATGGGAAAGTGCTTTGGTCTGGGAAAATTAAAATCATGCTACTTTTTATTTTACCCCAAAAAGGCCAAGAAGAGATTAGGAGCATTAAAGTGCAGGAGGTCTGTGGTTCCTTCAATTAAACATGATTGTATTGTAAAAAAACAAAAAAACTGTTTGAATTGACCTACTAGAATCTTGCTGTTTGAAGTGAAAAAAATGGGAAGAAAAGGCAAACATTTTCCACTGAACTGATTACCTGTTATTATTTTTTGTCAACAAAACATTTCTGAACTTTGATTTAAATAAGTCTAAACAGTTTGTAACATGTAGCTTCCTGTTTTGCAATCTTCAGGTCCCAGGGATCAAACTGCCAAATTTTTATGAGAAAAAAAATGCCAAGGAAGAGAGGTGAATGTTTAGCGCTACTTTTCAGTATGGAAAAACATGCATAACTGAAAAAAGTTGCTTCTCTTGAAAACCAAGCCACTCTTCAGTGTCAGGCCTACAAAACCCTTAGAAATACTAACCAGTCAAGCTTCAGTGATACCATGGAATACCTGCATCCATTCTAGCCTCCTTCAAATAAAACAACTTGCTTGATTAACCTCAGCCTCAATCTTGAACTACAGAGCAGTTGCTTGCTCTGTAAGCAAACAGAGCAAATCTTTGGGAATAAGAGACTTTGTGCTAACATTGCTAATTATACAGCCCTGTCAACTTGTCTTAGCCCAGACAAAATTATAGTGGATCCCTTCTTCCTTTTCTCTAGCCATAAACCTTTTCTTCAGAATGCATTTTCATCCAGTTCTTGAACAGGGAAAAAACTATAGTTTCATACCTAAACTCTAATCTGTGTTTACAGAATAAAAGAGGTTGATGAATACATCTATCCTTATATACCCCTTACATCTGTGGGATAATTTTAGGGCAATGGTTGGTGGATTTCTTTGGGTTTATTTCTGCCCAGCTACATGTGGTGGGGTAGGCTTGGGGAAAGATGGGCAGCATAGGATGGACGATAGATAAGAGAGAGAGAGAGAGAGAGGATAGATAGATAGATAGATAGATAGATAGATAGATAGATAGATAGGGATGGATGGATGGATGGATGGATGGATGGATGGATGGATTTTGAAAAAGGTGGGAGAGTATCAGGGATGAAACAGCAGGTTGCTAATGCATGGGTACTTCATCACAATAATTTGTTTCTGGCTGCCACACAACACAGGCCTACTGGTCTTCTGGAAGGAGGACTTGTGAGGAGCATTAGATGTACTCCTGCCTCTCCCATTTCCTCCAGCTCTATCTGTAACTCATCACTTGGGCCAGACACTAACCAAACTCTTGTCAATTTCTCTTCAGCCCTCAACTATCTCAAATGCTAGGCACAATGAGAAACCAAAGACTCCCTGTGCAACTTATGGAAAATTTGGATAGGGAAACTAGCACTCCTTCCCCATGATAAAAATAGTAAAAAGCACAACCAAACAATTTTTTCTTGTAAGAAGCAACAGCAGAAAATTGGAATGTACTCATTTGGAACAGAACCAGCAATTTACAGTTGGCAGAACCTGCCCTTTTCTTGGTTAAAATCTATCTCCCATGCAGGTGGTGTGCACCTGTTTTCCTCTAAACAGATTTAACCATCGGAGGTCAGATGTCTCTGTGGAAACCAGGTGTATGATCTCTCTCGCTGCCCAACCCAAAATGGCCATGGAGAGCAAGCCTCAATGACCAGAGGGGAAGAACTGCTATAAGTATCTGAGGAAAGCTGCATAGATCTTAACACTTGACCTTGTCATCATCACCATAAAGGTTTATTAGGCTCAGACTGGCTTTCTTTGGGAGAAGAAGCCATATTTTTCCCTTTTTAAATCTTCTGCTAAAGCAGGAGTGAGCAAGCTGAGTCTTTAAAACCCATTTTTGTATCTCTTTTTTGCAACTCTTAAAGCCTTTTCCATTGGTGGTATAAATGCTAAATTGTGCCATGTTTTCCAGTTTTTAGATTAAATTTATGTAAGTGACAAATAACTAAGGCCATGGTGCATTTGGAAATCTGAGAGCATGTGATGCAGAGGTGAAATGCTGCCGCCTCTACCTGGCGCGCTGCAGCCAGTAGTGCCAGCAGCGGGTAGTTCGGAGAACCGGTAGCGCCGGTGGAGGAAGGCTCCACCTCTGCCAATCTGGGATGTTGTCACATCCCAGTTTTGACCATCTGTGCATGCGCAGAAGGCTTTGCATATGCGCAGATGAGGGTGCACGTGCATATCAGCGAACCCATAGAAAAAGGTAAGTACATTTCACCCCTGATGTGATGGATGCAGAATGATTAATCGCATCATTTGGAAAGTCATGGCGATGATGTTAGAGAAATAGTTACAAAGAAGTAACATTTGATAAAGTATAGTTTCAGGCAAACTTGTTGCATATGTTTCCTGGCCTGGCCTACCGCAAAAGTTTGATCAATCACGAAATACCCATTTATAGAACGTGAACTTGTTCCCAAGATACGTGCTATCATTCTGTGGGATTTTTAGAAGGTCAACTTGATAGACATTGTGAGAAGTGTTTAAGTTGCCCAAGGGATCCACATTACTTCCTTGGACATAAGCCCAAAAGAAAACAAATATCTTCCCCAATTTTGCATATGCAGTTTTGCCACCTACATGATGGAATCATGATTGGTATTACCGTCCCATCTATTTCAGCCCTTGACTTCCCCATAACTATTGTGCACTATTGTGGAGGCCTTCAGCTTTCCCTGGGGTTGCCTATATTTATTTTATTTTAGTTTAGTTTATTTTATTGAATTTCAATACCGCCCTTCTCCCAAAGGACTCAGGGCGGTGTACAGCCAAAAATAAAACCATGACAATATAAAAATTAAAAGCAATTTAAAACAATTAAATAAATTGGCCAAAAAACTCTTAATAAAACAACCCATTAAAATAGTAAAATGTTATTATTTACGCCAGCCCTGCTTGTTGGAATAATAATGTTTTCAGGGCACGACGAAAGATACGAAGGTCGGGAATCTTACGAATCTCCAGGGGCAGCTCATTCCAGAGGGTAGGGGCCACCACAGAGAATGCTCTCCCCCTGGGAGTAATCAGCCGACATTGCCTAGCTGACAGCACCCCGAGGAGCCCCTCTCTGTGGGAGCGTACCAGTCGATGGGAGGCTATTGGTGGCAGAAGGTGGTCTCGTAAATACCCAGGTCCCAAGCCATATCTGGGTGAAAGGAGCCCATGGTGGTCAAATGGAGGGTGCTCAACTCAGTCATTTGCTAACACACCTCTCAGTTTACTTGCTTTGACCTTCCAATGTTTTACAGGCATCAGCTATTCAGACACAGTGAGTGCCACTGAGCCATGTAAGCCCTGTAAGGAGTGTGTGGGCCTGGAGAGCATGTCGGCTCCTTGTGTGGAATCGGACAACACCATCTGCAAGTGTGTCTATGGCTTCTACCGGGATGAGAACAATAAATGTAAAAAGTGCCGCATCTGTGAAATAGGCTTTGGACTTGTCTATCCTTGTGGGGAAAATCAGAACACATTATGTGAGAAGTGCCCGGCGGGGACATATTCTGATGAAGCCAACCATGTGGACCCCTGCTTCCCTTGCACAGTGTGTGAGGAGGATGAGATCACTGAGGAGGACTGTACTGCAACATCAGATGCCAAGTGCAGAGGTAATTATACATTCTTAAAATGGCGGCGGTGGGGAGAAGATGGAGCTAAACAATGTGCATAATCCTGCTATGGAGCAGCAGAGATCCTGCCCCTGCCTAGCAAATATTCAGAAATAGGCAACTAGCATTAGTGCTTCAAGCAATGAGGTAGGGATAAGGGTTCAGCAAAATGTCCTTTGGATAATGTTCTTGATTCCCCCCCCCCCCGCCCGCCCCCAGGCTGTCCTGGTTTTCTCCCAGTACAGTCCTGGGTTGTTGTTTTTTTCCTCCATCACTCTTTAATAGACACAGTTAAGGAAAGGAACATGTTGATTTGTTCTTTTCTTTTTCTTGCTGTTGAAAAACAAAATGAACGGTAGAGCCATTTGGAATGATCAGCTACAAGGAAATTCTGATGGTCCCAAGTGGGAGGATGGGGCTGCCCAGTGGGTGAGCCAGATCAAAACTAGTTTAAGATAAAGAACTTTAAGAAAAGAAGCAGTCAGGGGCCTTCCCCCCCCCCCCCCCCCCCAGCAGCAGTTGAGCAAGCATGCAAGCACGCAAGTCCCTAGTTCAAGTTTCTCTCAATGGTGAGGTGGTTATCTTTCTTTCTTTTGCTTAGCAATTATTTCTAAATAAACTTCAGCATTTTGAATGAGAAAAATATGAAATTTGTGCAAAACTATGCCCCTTTTGTGACTTTCTCATGATGATACCTTATTCCTGGCATGATCTGCATCCAAATATAGATGGATAGATAACCTTTATTGTCATTTTTTTACTGTGGGCAAAGGTGGGACTGGAACTCACAGTCTCCTGCTTTCTAGGCCAGCACCTTAACTAGTACAACAAATATCAGAATTCCTGAGCACATGAGATCTTGACATACATGTGCATATAAGGAAGATTGAGAATGGTGCTGTAAAGTGAAATAGCTTAAGGAGCTATTGAGCAACTCCTTTCTTCCTCTATATCAGTGATTCTCAACCTTGGAAGCTTGAAGATGGGTGGACTTCAACTCCCAGAATCTCCTAGCCAGCGCTGCTGGCTTGCAAATATTGGGGGACAATATTTGCAAGGAACCTCATAGTGAGATCATGGATTTCACTCAACATTGTGCTAATATTTCTCCTAGTGTAGTGCAAAGGAAGTTAACAGTCCCTGATGTCTTTTGTTCCTGATTATTCAAAAATTCACTCTCAGGTTTATGTTTCGGCTGGATAAACAAATCAAATCAGAAGTGGAAACATATTGTGTAGTTGCACAAATGTACGCAAAGATTTGTAACCAATGACATGCCCAATTCAACCTCCACTGATGAGAGGTGACTATGATTACAATTTTCCATTTACAATTTTAATTTTTTTAGTACGTTCATGAAACTAAAGCATATCCCCTTCCGAGTCCCTCCTTCCCAGATATTATCACTCTCCCATCATCTTTCTTTTCCTAAAATACACTGAAATAAACAAAAACAAAATCACCCAAGATGCATTCCTCTTTTGGGGAGCTTACCAAATAGTTCCATGTTAACTATCAGAAGAGGAGCATGGTAGTTAGGATGCTGGGATGGAGGTTGGCAAGCCCGTGTTGGAGAACCGAGTTCTTCTGTGGGGTGGGGTTGAACTTCCATCCTTCGCTTCAACATCTCCAAACATGAACGGAGTCCCCAACAAGGCATCCTGCAGGCAACGGTGATGTCACCAGCTAATTCTTTCACCCTGGAAGTTTCTTGGTGCTTCTGACATAAATGCAAACTATCAGAATTGTTCTCCTGTGGGCAGAAGCTGAAGCCCATCCTTTAATATAAACATAGAAGCAGATTTGTTTTGCTTAATCCATAGAGGGATGAGTTTTCCCTGTGACTGATAACACACAAACAGAAATCAACCTGCTCTCTTCTTGCTTCCTAAGTATGTCTTGACTTGCAAAAGGTAACAGGTAAAGCTTTCTATGGCAGGGAGATCAACAGAATCTCTTGCTATTTGCTTCAGGGAAAATGGCAAACTGTACTGTAATAATAGGGTGCAATTCTGAATTTAGCAACCAGTGCCAACATTAGAATTGGAGGACTGTTTGAAAACATATTCTTAAAAGACATTCCCCATTTGATTGGGCCTACTGTCATTACTACTGCACATATGACCTCTCCTTGTTGGTGCAACCTCTTTCATTGTTTGAATGATAGGCTAAGGCTAATAGACACTTGTCTGCCTCCTCCTCCTCCTCCTCCTCCTCCTCCTCCTCCTCCTCCTCCTCCTCCTCCTCCTCCTTCTGGAGGCTAAAACATATGAAGGACAGTTACAGGAACTTGGCAAGGCTAGTTTAGTGAAGAGAAGGACCAGGGGAGACATGATAGCAGTGTTCCAATATTTGAGGGGCTCTCTCAGGAGGGGGTCAAGATATTTTCTAAAGCACCTGAAGGCCAGATAAGGAATAATGGATGAAAACTGATCAAGGAGAGATTCAACCTAGTTGAATAATAGCATGGAGAAGATTGGACCTGGATCAATAGTGGATTCTCTTCTGAAATGTAGATGGTGGCTCTGGCATGGAAATGACTGTACAGTTTTTGATGCTGGTACTCTTGGCAAATCCCACTTTCCCCTTTTTTTCTCAACCATTGAAAAAGAGCCTATATATTAAATGTGCCATCTTCTGTGTAATCTTAGCTATGTCCAATTATCTAATGCTTGCTTATTAAGTCATTAGAATATTTATTGGGATTCTCAGAATTCCAACGGTTATTTGATGTGTTGTATTTCTCATAGTGGAAAGCAAAAATTTGACAGTATAATACAGAGCATGGAATCCAATCTCTTTTGCTTGGCAACATTTCTATTAAAAAGATAGGAATTGCAATATGAGATTGATTTCTTGTCATCCCAAGCCTTCACGCATGGCCCACTTTGCAGAATAGTAGCAAGTAGAGTTATTATCAAAGTACAGATATCTGCATATTTTATTTATGGAAGAAAGAGCAATGGGAAATGGGTAGGGCTGATTTGCAGAAAAAGATAACAAGGAGAAATGGCTAAGAAATACCTCTTCAACGTATCCCATTCTTTAGATTTATTTTGAGGCTGTAGAAGTTGAACTTAATAAAATAGACACAAGACAAACAAACAGAAGATGAAGATAATCACCTACCACTGTTCTCATTTGTGCTAGTGTGGTTTAATTGTTTGTAATTCAATGTCTGAACTTAGCCATTGTGGTTTTGACATCCAGGCTTGGTGTGAACCGAGCCAAGTGTGGTCTCTCCAGTAAAGCATGAGTAAAGAAGAGTTTTGAATTTGAGCCATGGGGAAAAATCAAATCTGACTTAAAGAAACCAAACAAAATTACAGTTCTATGCCCACTACTGTATCTGAGAATAAAACAATTGTGTTTATACGATAAATGCCAGAACTGATGTGGTTTGATTTGCAAGCTGGTTCTGATCCCAGCTGAGCAATGGAGTTCCTGGACAGTCTTCAACAAGCTTAACCTTCCCAGTGTTTGTTATGCTGATCCTTTTTTCAAGATTGCTATGAAGGTTTCTGGCACTCCAATTTCACTGATTCAGATGCAACAACTCCAATCTGAGAAACAGTGCTACTACAGACAGATATAAATCTTGTCCCAGCCCACTTTCTCTTTTCCCTTCTCTTCCTTCACGGCCGATATTGACAATATGACTCCTCAGGGTAGCAGTCAGAGTAACAGTGGGATCCGAACTTATTAAAAGTATTTTTTTTAAAAAGAAGGCCAAAATCTTTTTATATAATGATTTTGGGTTAAGTGCATGAACAAAAAGAAAATATAAATACAGCTATACAACAATATCATCAGTATTTGTGAAATTGTATAACTTCAAAAATAAGAATGAAAAAGGAGGAAGAAGAAAACAGTGGGGCTAAAAAAATAAGTTGTAAATAGAACTCAAAAAATTGACCATATTTCTTAGCTATATCCAAAGAGAACAAATGGATTTATAGCATACAATTTGTTTACTTAATTTCTATTGAATTTTTATTTCACTTTCATTTTGACTTACGTTGACCTACAGCAGCTAGAACATCTATGTTAATATAACAGTAATGCAGAGTTACACGTTCAATCCTTGTTGTTGTAGTTCCAAATACAACAATATTAGGATAAAATAAAATAAAATAATATGAATCGTTATTCTAGCTTTTGAATTACATTTCTAGAGCAAGGTGATTCTAACTATGCTTTATTGAAAAATTTCCGAGGTGTCCTGTATCCACAAACATTTTTGTTGTTTTAACATTCTAAGATGATAAAAGATTAATTTCACATTATTTACAGTGATCTTCTATGAATTTACAGAGATGAGACATGACGCCTGTTATTTATGTGATGCACAAATAACATAAATATCAATTTCATCACTTTTCTTCAGCTTTTTATAAAAATGGGGTTTTGGCTTAAGACTATTAATTTTTCCAAAACCTCTAATTACTGTATAAGGCAGTGATAGCATCTGGATTAAATAAACCAAATAACAAATGATTAAACTGAATATACTTCCAAGAACATTCTGAGTTCAATAAAACTTTTTAAAAATTTTATGTTAAAACAGTTTCCTTGAAACTAAGGTGATCCTGATTAATTATGTTGTGACAAAGCCAGTTTATCACAAGCATTGTTTAAAATACTTAATTTAAATTTCTGAGGGGTAATATTTGCAACCAAGTAATTTTCATCTATGCTTTGTAACATTAAATGTAGATATTGAAGATATTAAATATGGATATTGAAATAAAATACAAACAAATTCTCAGTGTAGTATTGGCCAGTGGGTTTAAGTAATAAATCTTGGTTGAACTAAAGAAGACTTGAATATTGAAGTTCCTACTGCCAAAACCCAAAGCTGAATTAAATGCCAATGATAATGCTGAAAGTATGGAGAATTAAATCTATCTTTCTCTATTTGTTTATTTGCATCCTGTCTTTATTATTTTTACAAATATCTCAAAATGGCAAACATATTTAATGCAACTGATAGTTGTCATTTGTGAAATGAAGACTCTTCAAAAATATCTATTTGGTATTCTTTATTTAAAATAATGAAATGGAATAAATGTAAATCAACCACAAGGGCTAAACTCTGGCAGATGCTTTGTGTTTTTACCCAACATCCCAGGAGATTTTGAAACTTTTTTCATTTTAATTTTTCTTCATGCCTCTAGTTTGTTAAAATCAGTATGTTATATCATGGTTTGGACAAAGAAAGTGTAGTTTCCCAGTTTAGATATCATAGGATACTCAAGCAACATTAAGTACTGTACTTTATGGAATTGATTATAAAGAGAGGCCCACAAGACTGGACAGTCTTTCCTCTAGGTCCGTGATGGCGAACCTTTTCGGCACCGAGTGCCCAAACTGGAATGCGCATGTATGCAAATACATGCGCACGCGCCAGAGCACCGGAAACCCGAAGACCAGTTGGCTGGTGCGCATGTGTTTTTTGGCTATTTTTCGGGGTGTTTTTCAGGCTGTTCTTTGGGCTGTTTTTAGGGCCAAAAATGACCTGAAAAGGACCCAGAAAATGGCCTGAAAATGCACCAAAAACGACCTGGAAAACAGTCTGAAAAAGGCCTGAAAATGCCTCCAAAAATGCCTGTTTTTCGGCTGTTTTCAGGCTGTTTTCCAGCACTCTGGTGCCTGCACATGCCCACAGAGAGGGCTCTGTGTGCCACCTCTGGCATGTGGCACCTCTGTGTGCCACCTCGCCATCACAGCTTTATATTGTTTATAAGGAGGATTCTGAAGAATGGACTTGCTCAAAATATATTGAGCACTCAGAAGTGAGTTTTACAAAGTACTTGAAGTTTCTTCTTTTCATTCCTATACTATTACTTCTCTTCTTCTTTTTTGTGAGCTAGTAAGGAAAGCACTCTTGTCTTTTTCCTTTTCCTTTTTAGATTTTTATAAATCCTTTATAAATAACTCAGAGTAGCAAATAGAATAGAATAGAATTTTGAATAGAATATAATTTTTTATTGGCCAAGTGTGATTGGACAAACAAGCAATTTGTCTCAGTGTACATAAAAGATACATTCATCAAGAATCATAATGATAGTCATAGGGTACAAATAAGCAATCAAATCATATTAGGAAACAGTCAATATAAATCGTAAGGATACAAGCAACAAAGTTACAGTCATACAGTCATAAGTGGAAGGAGATGGTCGATGGGAACAATGAGAAGATTAATAGTAATGCAGACTTAGTAAATGTACGTGATACTCCTTTCTCCTCTCCAGCCCCCAAAAGCAACTCTGTTAAGTGAGTTGGGCTGAGAGAGAATGACTGGCCCAAAGTCACCTAGCAGCTTTCATGCTTAAGGTGGAACTAGAACTCATGGTCTCCTAGCTTGTAACCCAGTTGCTTAATTACTAGACCAAACTGGCTCTCTTTGAATTAGGATTGTTACAACAGAGCCAGCACTATGTTATTAATTTGACTTTCCATAGAAATCCTGCTCTCACAAGGTTTGAAGATAGAGATTGATTGATCGTCTGACATTTGTTTGTTTGTTTGTTTGTTTGTTTGTTTAGCAAGCATGTAACAATAAAAGTGGAGGAATTTACAAAAATAACTGGGATAGCATCTTTGGCCATATGTAGCCAAGCAGGGCAGAATTGTAGAAAATTGGAGCAAAGAACTTTCAAAGATATCACAATCAAGTCAGTGGTACCAAATGAAACTTTCAAACAAAAACATGATAAATTAATGGACATTCTTTACCTTTTGAAAGAAGAGAACAAAATGCTAATTTCTAGCCAATTAATAGAAAGGTAATGGCTGGAACATATTGCCTGAAGATGAATCAGGAGTCAGTATTGTTCTGACGTCAGCTGTTTCCAGATGGAGAAAAATTGTGCAGAGGTTCAATCGTTCCCGCAGGCATGGCTAAATTTCATAAAAGCCACTCAAGGAAAGGGAGCGGCAGCCTGCAGTTGAATAGGAAACTCTTTGTGTGGGATTTGGATTTCTTCTTTGGAATGAAACAATCAAAAGGTGGAGCTTGCCCCACCCAGTCACCCACATAATGTTAGATGCACAAAAGGTGCCAGAAAGGATATTATAGGACAGGTTTTTTTCTTTTTCTTTTCTAAAACCTCCATCACATTTAGAGCCATTATAGTAGAGTTTCTCCATTTTGGCAACTTTAAGATAAGTGGACTTCGGTTTTCAGAATTCCCAGCCACAAAAGTTGAGAAACCCTACATTACAGATTATTTTGAAAAGAAGGAACACATTTCTCAAGATACTGTGTGGGATTTCTGACTTTCTAAAGACCACCTATCTTGTTTTGAATCTGACCAGTCAATAAGATTTACCAGCAAGATTTCCACAGAGACTAAGATCAGAAATGTTGAGAAAGAACTTTCTGCTTCCTCCAGAATTATGATTGCTTACCTTTCTCTTAAGAAAAACAAGCACATCTTGACCTTTAAAATTGTTCCCTGTATTTTATTGGGGTAATGGTTTTTGAATAGTTTCACTCTGTGATTTGATCGCTATCTTATTTTAATTCGTTTTGGTTCTTAACAGGAAAAATGATATATATGTATGTTTTGTTACCAAAATGATTTATTACTGTAGGGGAGGGGGAAGTGATCGGTTTAGGATTGTTCAAATATCCCTAATGTGGCAGTCTGTATTTATTACGGATTAAGCTTAAATGGCAGGACATCAATTTACCTCAGGCCTTAAAGCAAACTGTGTGGCAAAATTAGAATCCTTCACATCTGCCACTTCTGCCTGACTTCTGAAACGGTGTCACATGTCTGACCATCTCATCTACTTTTTCTTGCAAGAATTATGGTGTAATGAGAATTTCTGTGTATTCACATCTGCTTCGTATTTTAAATCTTTAGTTAATTGTGATTCATTTCTAAACTTCCCAATTGCCACAATTTCTCATTCGCTTTTACTAAATTATTCCTGGTTTTCTTGACAGCAATTAGTCCAAGATTTGCGATGACAACCACAGTCCCGATGGATCCCTACACCGCCGATAGAAATGCAGATGCAAATACAGATGTAATCGTAAATGTGGAACACGGTACCTTATTTTCCTTTTCTTACACAGATGAAATAGTTCTTCATTTGCTCAATTGATCTAACTCCCACAAGGACTTTACTTGACTTCATGAAATAAATAAAACCACAGACTAAAACAACATTTTCGAACCACTCAGGGAGGTATTGTTCCAAAAATTTTCTGGAGAGAAGCCATAGATATAAATTTACCAATAATGATCAGAGTTAGATTTATCACTTTATGGTGACTCCTTTCCTATCTTTAGTAGTGCCAACTCGTGGACATAGGAAGGAAGTGCTTAAGCTCACTGGTACTAGCAGGTCCCACAGAACTCAGAGTTCTCGCTTATGTTACTTAACTGTGTTGCATTGACAAGTTGTTGCCTTGACCACTATTGTAGTAGGCTTCTGGTCCAATTATAAAAGTAATGGTTATTACTTTTAAAGCTGTATAGAGATGTAACACTGGGACATATCAGGCAACATCTTGTCACTCTTGAATCTGCCTGTCTGGTCCTTACATCAAGAGGGAATCATTGAGAGTTCCCTTCCTCAAGAGGTACATAAATCATGGGACAGGCAGCAAACCTTCTTGGTAGTGGCTTTCATTTTTTTAATCTCACCTTTCCTAAAGTTACATATGATCCCTACTGTTCTTATATTTCATAAGCAAATGAAATCAATCCATCTACAAAAAACCTTTGGCCCCGGTTGATTGTGGGTATCTACCATAGGAACTTTACTGAATTAATGATTACATTGTCTTGATGTTTTCTTTTCTTTCATTTTTGATTCTATTATCAATGGTTCCTTCTCCAGAGTCTCTCCAGATTGGAGCAGCTATAAGCCTTGTTAAATAAACAAACAAAATTGTTTTGAGGGAATTACATTGTTTCAGCAAAGATGGGGTGGGAACTTTTGATCATGTTCACACTTGCTTAATTACTGAAATGTTAATTAAGTGTTACATTCCTAATTGTCTCAAAGTTTTTCACTCTCTTTTGTTAAGTTCTTCCTCCTTGTTTCCTTGGCAGCAACTAATCCACAATTTGCAGTGGCAACGAAGACCCCGATGGATTCCAATGCCAGTGATGCAGACCCAGATGCATTCATAGACCCAGATGTAGACATTGACCCAGATGCAGTCATAGATATAGAACATGGTATCTTGTTGTCTTTTCCTTATGCTGCTGAAACAGTTCCTAATTTGCTTAGTTGGTCTCACTCCAACTACCGAAACCCTCGACTGCATAAAATAGTTAAGACCACAGATTAAACAAACATTTCTGAGCCCTGAGGGAATTATTATTCCCAAGCATTTTGGAGGAAAGCCATAAAAGTGAAAGTATAACTAACCGTTATAGCTTTATTTGCAGGTAATATAGTATGATGTGATTGCAAGTACTAACAGAATCAGTGACCTCATTTGGTGCCAAAAAAAGAACTTCCTTTAATCCCCAGTATAGAAATGTTCCTCCAGCTTTATTTCATTCTAGAATTTTAGAATGCTTATGATAAATGTGGATATATTCTATTTGCCTTCCCACCAGGATATAAGAATGTTTAAGAAATTTTGACATGAATTAGATCACTAACTATTTGCAAATGCAGATAAAAATACCTAGAATAGTAAAAAAAAAAAAATTGTATATTTCTTGTTTCATAAAAAAGGTGTCTGGACCCCAAGGGAATTTTACATTTTTCTGAAAGCTCATTTTGATGCATGAACTTCTCTGATGATAAAATCAATCAACAAATGATTTTTCAACTTTAACTCAAAGATGGAGAATGTGAAGTGACCTAATTATCCAGCATTATTCCAGAGTGATTGAAGCTACAATACCTACTTACTAGTGATTAAACCTCATAAAACTTGAAGGACTTTCTTATTAGAAGACATTAAATGAATGCACGATCTAATAAATATTTGCATATTGTTATACAAAGCTCTGATTTTCTATAGAGACCTGAATCTGTATTGCTGTTGTGGTGGTTTAGATCATTATCCACCACACAAATTCAGGAGCTCATGATAGTAAACATAACATTTCCTTCTTTCTCTTTTCTCTACCACAAACCTGTGTGATAGGCTGAATAGTAAAAGGTCCAAAGTCACCCAGCAAGATTCTATGACTAAATGTAAACTTGAATCTGAGTAGATTTGAATCTGGATTCCCCAGCACTAGCCAGCATCTGAACTATTGGCTTTTGGATCATTAATATTATAGATACAACATATATGCAAAGGAAAATAGATTAACCTAAATGCAGCCTTATTTTTGCATATTGTTTCCACAGTTATTCTTCTGTTTCCTTACCTTTCCAGATTTTTACCCAGGGACTCCCAAAAGTCCCTTTCCTATTACAAATTTTTCAGAGACTATGGATATTTTGGAGACCACTGTAATGAGCACCACAATGACCACTATTATGGGCAGCTCCCAGCCTGTCATTAGAAGTGGGACAGCTGATAACCTCATCCCTGTCTACTGCTCCATTTTGGCAGCTGTGGTGGTGGGTCTGGTGGCATATATTGCCTTCAAGAGGTAAGTAGCAGAGACCGTCTGGAAGACAGGTGTGCAGGAGGAATGTTGTGATGGATGAGCAGTGACAGGCAGTGTCTAAAGTTGATCTTGCTCACTGACTAGATGCTCTTCAGTTGTTCAAATTATTTCCTGTACCTGTTCTAAGGATGTAATTTTGGCTGGCCATAGCGAAACACATTCATGACTAGCACATCTTGCAGTTAAAACTATAAACTCCAGCTTTACCAATGACAATATGATGATTTGTGTCCAACTCTCATTTTCCTTTCAAGGAAATAGTGTATAAAATGTCATATCATTGACTATGCTTGAACAGTCCCCTAGGGCCTAAATAATGTTGCCTTCCTGCAACCCTACATAATTTGCAAGCAGGGGAGGCTAAGAGGCAAAGGAGAAAAAGATAGCAGTGGAAGAGGAAGCCACTTTGTGAGTATGTGCTAACAACAGAGGCACATTTTTCATACAGTACTGCAAAGCATATTTGACCTTTAAATGTAATTCCTGGGACACTCTCAAGAAAGTAGATGAGGATAGGATGCAAATTAATTTGATAAATTATTCATATGATGATTATTCTTCATATTTTAATAATTTCTAATAAGAATCTTTTGGTGGAGCTCAGGGGCCATGTCTCTGGCATGCAATAGAGAAGAATGGAATCATTCTCTCTTCCCATCCTCCTTCTACCTGTATTTTACACCATTCCCTTAAGTGATAGGCATCTTTATAAAGACAAATAGATGTACTTCAATAATTTCAGAGCTGACCACATGCAATTATCCTTGAATGGCAAGGATGAGTATCCTCTAGAAATAAACATTCAGGATTGAAATTTCTAAGTTGCTCTTATTAGAAATTAGATCCTTCTCAGTGCCAATCCAGATACATCTTGCCTCTAAGATTGCCAACTTTTAAGTGGCTACTCTACACATATGGCCATAAAAGAATGGGAAATTGATAATGATTATATCCATGCTATGAATTATTACCTCTGCTGATTCTTATAGCTCAAGTGATTGATAAAGACATAGAAGCAAGCCAAACATAGGTTGGTTTGTTGTCTTTTCCTATGATGGATAGACATTTTTTTTGCATGAATGCTGATTTCTATTATAAGATAAAATCCATTATCTTATATCTCAAGCTTTAATCACTAAATATAACATATTCTGCTTTTAGAAAGCCAGTTGTCTTGGATTACATTGGGAAGCATTTCCTAAAGTGTAACCCAAAGATCCTTTCTCCTTTCCATTGATTCCTACTGGACTTCCTTCTCCAAGAATGAGAGTTGAAAATAATAAGAATCATATGATTGCTTTATCTTGTAATCAGCAACATATGGATTGGCCTAGGAAATTATTAGGAAAAAGCAAATAGGAAATAAGAAAGTAGATCATTTGTGGATCCAAGTCCATCCTTTCCTTCATCCTCCAGTTCAAATATCTTCAACCAATAATGTTAGATGACATCATTACCATATGTGTACATATAGCTGAATCACTTTATCTATTTAGGAGCTCTCCCAAAGGTTCTTTTTCAAGAGACAACTGGACTTTCTGGTTTTTCCTTGAAGATGTTTTGCTTTTCATCCAAGAACAACTTCAGTTCTGACTGGATGGTGTGGAATGGAAGGATTTATACTCCTTTCAGACAGCTGGACATTTGCATTCTTTTAGCAACTTGTTAAGATCACCTGGAGATTTATCTGTGTCATCAGGGTCACCTGAGTGGTGCAAATGGCCCCGATGACATAGATAAATCTCTAGATGACCTTAATGACTCACTTAAAAAAATGCAACTGTCCAGCTGTCTGCCAGGAGTATAAATCCTTCCATTCCCCCCCATCCAGTCAGAGCTGAAGAAGCTTCTTGGATGAGAAGCAAAACATCTTCAAAGAAAAACTAGAAAGTTCAGTTGCCTCTTGGAATAGCACCTTTGGGATAACCATGACCTGGATGACTGAGAATCTCCATAGATATTTAGGAGCTCATTGACCCAACTCCAAGCTCTTATAAAAGTGGCTTCTTAGTCTCCTGGTTCATCATGGTTGTGCCCAGCTCTTTCTAAGAAAGCATCTTAATATGGATGGATCCTCCAGATTTTGATGGGCTACAAATCCCCTGATTCCTTACCACTGTCATGTTTGTCAGGGCAGATGAGATTTGCAGTTCAGTAATGCCTGGAAGGTCTCACTTCTGCCCGATCCAAGGCATACACCAATGCTTTTCCTTCTGTATGAAGAAATAAAGCTAATCCTATGAATTCACAATCAGTGTTGGCAATTGCAGTGTCTTTCAAAAGCCAGTATAAATGAAAGCACCCTTATCTGGATTGGCAAATTAATCCCTACAGTGAGAGTTCTGTCTGGACAAGCCTTGAAAAGATAGCATTCACCACGCCCCAGACTTCATGATATGTAGAAAGGAATTAATTCTCAGTGGCCCTGCCAATTTTGTAGTGTACTGTGGGTCAGAAGAAAGAACAGGTATCCTTGGCTCAACTGTCAAACATTTTCACCTCTAGATGGAACAGCTGCAAACAGAACAAACAAGGTGCCAACAATCGTCCTGTCAACCAGACGCCTTCCCCAGAAGGAGAGAAACTTCATAGTGACAGCGGCATCTCGGTTGATAGCCAAAGCCTCCACGATCAACAGCCACCAACACAAACAGCATCTCTACAAGGCAAGAGGAGGGGTCAAGCTGAAGCTGGGAGGGGAAGAAACCAAAGAGCAGGAATGCAATTCAGAGAGACAGGAAACCACTAATTACCAAAAGATACTATAGCCCTGGCAGACACCAAGAGGACAGTTAATCCAAGAACCATCTACTTTCTAGATCACATCCCTCTTGTTGCTTGTCCTGTAAACCACCAATGAAATCCCAACTATAGTTTGCTCCGGGCAGATAGCAAGCATACACAAGTTTTTGTTGATGCAACTGTAACTAACAAACCAAGTAAAATTACAATGGGGAAATAAGCAAATAGCTATATTCCTCTGCCTCAACATTTCACATTTTTCCAGAAATATCAGATTTAGTGTTTTTCCATTTCACTTCTTTTGGCACATATGTCAAGTTAAATTGATTGCTCTGGAAATTCTATTTTAGTTTGTACTAAAATTGGGGTGCATTGGGGTGCACATTGCTCTAAACTTTTTTTGTTATCTATTTTACTTATATACACCATTTTTACAAATAATTATCAAGTATAGTAGACAATTAGTAATATAATATCCTTTTGTATATAGTTCATGAATATATGCATTTGGGGTTAGACTTTTCCCTAATAAATATCTCTTATAATTGTTGGTGAGCCGCAATGCAATCTTCAGAGATTTGAAAATTGGGGATATCTTAGTTTTGATCTATGTTTTATTTAAAAATGCAAAATATGATCAAGTTGCTGTCAAAGGTAAAGTTAAACATATTTTTCTCCCATTCCTGAGAAGAAGGCTGGTCTTCACTATTTTATAGATACCTATACCAATCAAAAGTGTGGGAAATTATTAGTTTCTCAAGAAATGCTATAGGACAGTGTTTGCTTGATGCTGAATTTAGACTCAGATTTCAGTCCTAGGACATAGTTTGGAAAATCCATCGTTGTTGTTTTAGTGCTTTCAAGTCAGTGTTGATTCCTAGAAACTGCTGGTACAAGTTCATGCAGTCTTTTTGGCAAGGTTTTTCAGAGGTTTGCCATTGGTTTCTTCCTAGAACTGAGAAAGAGTGACTGACCCAACGTCACCCAACTGGCTTTATGCCTAAGGTAGGACTAGAACTCATGTTCTCTCAGGTTCTAGCCTGATGCCTTAACCGCTACACCAAATTGGGTCTCTTGCCCCTTTTCTACCATGTTTCAAATTATTTATGCTGGAAGGTTAAGTCCAGATGAAATACAAATACTTGCAGAATAAAAACAATAGCTCTCAAAACTATACTTTTTTTGCTTCCTGTACTAAAAGTCAAGATCAATTTTCATCTAAATGGATGGATTTATGTGCAATTGGCATAAGAGCTAATTTACTTCTATTAAGCAAATAGGTATGGTCATTAAAATCATATTTTACTTAGTAACTGGGATTTTTATATCTAAGGGCATAAAACAAAAGTATTCTTGTCAAAATTATGTCAACTCTCACTTTACTTCATCATGTTATTTTGGGTTAAATTTAGAATTTTCTGAAAAGATCAACCCAAGGGTTTCACTTCAGGATTAGGATTAGGAGAATAAACCATTGAGATCATACTTTAAAAAAACATAATTTAGGAAAAGTGTGGCATTTGTTAAATATACAGCAGGAACCCTGGTGGCGCAGTAGTTAGAATGCAGTACTGCAGGCAAACTCTGTCCATAGCTTGGAGTTCGATCCTGACCAGCTCAAGGTTGACTCAGCCTTCCATCTTCCAAGGTCAGTAAAATGAGGACCCAGACTGTTGGGGGCAATATGTTAACACTGTAAATCTCTCAGAGAGTGCCATAAAGCACTGTGAAGCGATATATAAGTCTAAATGCTATTGCTAGCACAATTGCTATACACAATTTTCAATAACTCATAGTAGATGAGAAAGAATCAGTTTAGATTCTGACTGGTGCTGTTTTATCAAATTACAGTATGTTGCCTATCATTGCAACTCTATCACTCACTAGTTATGATTCACTCTATGAGCCCATTTCTTCCCCAAAAGATTTTACGTGGTTGATATTAACCTATGGCATGAGGTTTACATTTGAGAGGGTGGGCATTTGTTGCTTTTTGATCGTTAGATATTCTGCTGTTCCACTTCACAATTTCTACCGCTGTGTTCTTTGCAAACAAATAATTAGTGAATAGTATTACTTGTCATGATAAACACTAGTTAATTTAGTCATAATGTATGTAATAATTCATAACTGCCAGTTTCATAAAACATAGCAAGCCATAAATTATAAATTACAGTGTCTGAGTTCATGGATTATGCTAAACCAAAAAGAGCAAGCCACATTTTCCTTAAAACCAGTAAATAGAGCAAAGAGTAAATAAGAAAAATTACTCTTTTTCTATTTCTGGAAGCCCATGCCAACTGGACTGTTATGAATAAATGTTAATATGGAGGAGAAGAAGGAAAAAGGCAAGATCATATGTATGTGGAAGAGCAGCGCATTACCTCTCAGTAACCTTTTTATGTCTTTTGGTTTGGTTTGGTTTGGTTTGGTTTGGTTTGGTTTGGTTTGGTTTGTTTGGTTTGGTTTGGTTTGGTTTGGTTTGGTTTGGTTTGGTTTGGTTTGGTTTGAGTGCCACTCCCACTTCTGGCAGTTTACAACAGTAAACAGTGTAATAAAAACTGCATGAAGACTTGAACTGAACTGGGCCCAAGGGGCCTTTCAAAATTCTCCAACATATTCATGAGTGGAGGAACTGGATAGACCATTTATTTGACTTTCTCTAAGTCAAACAATTCTCTAAGTGAACAACAAATTCTCCTACAAAAGATAGGACAGGGGTCTGTAACCTTAAATACTCAAAGAGCCATTTGGACCCATTTCCCACAGAAAAAAAAAACAAAAAAACACCGGGAGCCACAAAACCTTTCTCGTGCCTGACTATTTCTTAAGCAGCCACAAAACTAGCATATGTAGTTGAATTAAACAATGTTTTCTTCTGAAACTTTTCTTTTCTTGGATTTATCCATGGTTGGCCTATCGGGGTTTAAAAGCTCAATAAATCGCATGCTGGTGGGTATTGCTCATTGGCAGTTGTGACTCATATTTTGAGTGACAGGGAGCCGCAGTAGAAGGGTGAAAGAGTCACATGTGACTCCAGAGCTGCAGGTTGCTGACCCCTGGGATAGGACTTCCACTCTGTGGAGACACGAACATTACCCCTGAAAAAGCCACATGAGAAGAATTTTGGCCTGAGGTTTTCCCTTGAGGTTGGTTTGAGGTATCAGAAGCCAAGGAGGCTGGAGAAACTCAGACCTCTGTCACTTCTTAACTAAGGAAGCTCAAGAACGCTACAATCTTCTTTGAACTTCCTCTGCCTGATTCTGGGTTTTCACAGGCAACCCACATGTTCAGCTAGGAGGCCTGAAGATAAATTGAACAAGGATTATTTTAAATATCATAGCTCTCCATGTCATCTGGAGTCCCAGAATACACAGCAAGCTGCACTGTATTCCACAGAAGCCTGTCCTTCAGGCTAAATGCTTGGCACTTAGAAAGAGCTGTATGAAAAGCAATGGTGCTATTTAGCTGGTTCTATCCAGTTCGAGTGAATTGGTAGCAGAGGCTGTGGGAGGCTCCGCCCACCCACCCAATCATCCCGTTTTTGATGCTCTGTGCATGCGCAGAAGATTCTGCGCATGCGCAGAGGTGATGCATGTGAGTGAGCGGACTCCCATTTGCAAACCGGTAGCGAAGGCAAGTGAGTACCACCCCTGATGGAAAGGGTGAATGAGTAGTCTTGTCCTTTACTCATTTATAAACCCACTTGTGCTCAGATGGTGATCTCTCAAAATTTGGAGCCACCAAATTCTTTCTTTGTACAAATGCTTTGGGATTGTACCAAATGAGAAATCCTGGAACTAAAATGAACATTTATACATTTTTAATTTGAGAGATGTTCGGAACGGAGTGGTTTCAACATTAATTGTAATACAGACAAAGAAAAGAATATCAGAATATTAAAGGGGGTTTGAATGTTTATGTTTATGTGAAAATAATGGTGATTATAATCTTACCTGGATTATTTAGAATAATTCATATTCTGCCTTACCCAGTGAAATTATCCAGAAAAACCTTCATTCAAATCTTGAATATAGTTTACCTTTGAAAGCATATTGATCTATTTATATTTCTTATAAATCACAGAACACAAACATCAATAATTCTATGATTTTCAAAATGTTCTAATGCTGTTATGAAAGGATAGTACAATATGTGCTAAAAAGAATATTTCATCGAAGAAATTTTACATGAAATGCAAACCTAGATATTTTATTGTGAAATGCATCTACAACATTTTTGGGCCAATCTGTGTGTGTGTGTGTGTTTGTTTGTTTGTGTGTGTGTGTCTGTGTCATCAGTTAATACAGAAATAGGATGGAGTAAATTCACATGAAACTGACTTGGACCAAAAAGAATCTGAGCCAAATGCTGGGTCTCCACAGTAAAGGAATATCTATGGCTCCCATAATAATAGCTGATCATTTCCCCTTTCCCTCCTGCTCTCTCCCCCCAGGATCATGGACAATTGCTGAGGATTGTTGTGGACAACTAAAGCCTAATGGTACACCTGCTTGAGGTCTGGTGTACCAGGGCCTGCTTGGGTGGGGGATTGGACTAGATGACCTACAAGGTCCCTTCCGATTCTGTTAATCTGTACCATCTGAATTCATTTTAAATTTGTCACATTGTTCTGCGGCAATGTGTGGAATTGCCCCAATTGCTAAAATCAACTTTGGGAACATGGAAGAGATAAGTGAGTGAGTGACTCGCATGCAGTTATATTTTTTTAACCTTTCTCTATCCCAAACTCATTCCTCAATTTCAGGTCTTAAAGGAGATGGGAATCTTTACACCAGCCTGCCCCCTAACAAACGCGAGGAGGTTGAAAAGCTTTTGAATGGTTCCACAGAGGAGACATGGCGCCACCTGGCCGGAGAACTAGGCTACAAGGAAGATCACATAGACTCCTTTACACAAGAGGAATACCCTGTTCGTGCACTGCTCTCTGATTGGTCCAGCAAGGACAGTTCCACCATGGATGCCCTTTATTCAGCCTTGCGCAAGATTCAAAGGGGGGACATTGTGGAAAGCCTTTACAGTGAATCCACTGCTAGCTCTCCAGTGTGAAGGAGAAAGAGGGGGCAGAGGCATTCTGAGTTAGCTCCTCATTTACCCTGCCCCACTGGTGCCTCTTGGAAGAAGAACATGTGAAGGAAAAATAGAGCTCATTCTTTCTGGGGCACTGGAACAATCCTGTAAGCACTGGTTTAGTTGTTTTTCTCTCTCTGCCCTGCTGTCCTGGTATTTTCGTCCAATAGCTCTTGCTAGTAACAGACAATAAGATGGTAAAAGGAAATGAAAGAAGAGAAAGGGAATTTATGTCTTGCTTATAGTCTATGTGCTCCTTAAAATCTCCTGGACTGATAGTGGACTGCTGATTCTGAACTGAGACAAGAATGAAGACAGACATTTGTCCAAAGCCAATTGCTTGACTTCTCTTTCAGGTGCCTCTGACATTTATCCCATGCGCTTCTCTCATTATCCCATCGACATTAGTTCTGTTTCTACATCTTCTTTCCTTCAGTCACCAGTTTACCCTATTTAAGCACATCTGAAATCAGGAAGAAGAAAAAAAAAAAAACCAAGGAGACCAGCCAGATATGTTACAGAGTGATGAAGGATTCAAAGAAGGCAGAAAGAGCAGGAATGCTGGGCTTGAAACAAGGAGACATATGGTGTTTACAGGACAAAGTGAACATTTGTTTTGAGGCAACCTCCTGGAGGGTCTCTGAGTGGGGAGAAAAGAAATGTGGACCAAGTTTCTAGCTATCAAAACTGACAATATGAAGATCAAAGTGGGAAGTTAAAGGATGGAACCCAAAAGAGAAAATAACCACATTTCCATCCAAGTATTGGTGACCACATCAAGACTATATTTGATCTTGCCCTTGTTTTCTTGCTCAGATGCATTCTTCCTAGCTAATAAGGATTTTTTTTTTAAAAAACCCTCTTCCATTTTCCTCTTTCAGGGTTTGACTGAAACCAATAAAGTCATATAAACCCTTGCTTAAAGGAGCCAGGTAATGGCCGCCTTGAGTCGCCATGTGCGAATAGACGGCAATATAAATTCCCTAAATAAATAAAATAAGCCACACTGATGAGTGGACCTGATCAGAAGCAAACAAGGCAAGTGGTCAGACATATTCATTCATTTTCCAAGGGATGCTGCTTTGATGAAGCCCTACGTTCTTCTTCAAACTGGTAAACCAATCACTGTGTGTTAAGAAGCTGTTATCTCTGTTGCATTAAAAGGGGAAGCAAACAAACAAAAAATCCCTTAGTGGCCTTAATGCACAAAGTAGGGCAATCGATATGAAAATGTAGCTACTCTCAGAGATAGAATTTTGCTGAATGTTATTCCTGTGTCAAGTGATGTACAGCCACCAAAGCAACCTGGTGTTTTCTGTTTTCAAATATTAGAGGGATATGAAAGTATTACGGGGATAGGATGGTGAGGAAATATTCTACAAGCTAACAAGAAACACCAAAAGCTCTTGGGCAAAAAAAAAAAAAAAAAGAGAGAGAGAGAGAGAGAAAGAACTGGAACTGAACAATGCCCTCCCTCTGTATCTGTATTACAAGATTTATGTTGGTTTCTTTTATTCTTATTCTGATGATATTCATATAGACCCAATGGAAAAAAAATGGTGGCATTTGAAAGCTGGTAGCGTTTTAAACAGTTGTCTGGGTTGTTCATGGGAATTTTTAGCTGCTCATCTTGTTTCTCTGGTTTAAAACTGTGGAGAAGAAATCTCTCCATCATATGTATGCACGCACACGTATATATAAATATATACTTAGAAAGTAATGGGAATACTTCCTGGGGAATGTTAGTTAGGAATGCTAATTAATTTCCTTTCTCAACCAAGAGATGATTAGGGAAGCTTGTCAGGCTGCACAAAGTGTTGCTATTCTGATCATTTTCTGTCATCATACCAGTTTTAATGGTTTGCCTCACCAGAAAACTTCTATTTTAACCTTGACATTTTTTCTGTCAACAAAACTTAGTAGCAATTTTAAATAGGATGGTACAAACAGATTGAGGAAAGTTAATTACCTTTTTGCTTTCTATTTAAAAACTTTTTACAGAACAACTAGAACCATGTCTTTATTCGTAGAATGTTGCTATTACATAATGATAATAAAGGAGCCAGAGGAAGAGTAGTAATATATCTAATGGACTCCTAAATTGTTTAGAAGGAAAATATGGAGGTGCATGGAGGTACTTGTGGCCTTGCTGATTTTGGGTCTAACTACTGGCCTACCTAGCTTAACATTCTTCTTTGATCTGGCAGCAACCTTCGTTTATTCAGACAGAAGCCTTTTCATGTCAATTCTGAAACCCAGGTTCCCTTTTTATGGTATGAAGGGCAAAAAGCCTGTGAAGACACACAAAGCAGGCACTTTACCTCAGAAGTCCAACTCACAATCTAGTTCAACCTCCTCTTGGTATACAATTTGCAGATAACTCTAATGGCCCTTTTCTCTTTTTGTAGAGATATGTGCCTTGTTGTGCAGTAACTATCCCTAAAGAAGCAAACAGAGTGCCAAATGTTTTTGCTTTTCTTGAACATGCAAGTCCATTAAACAACTCTGCCTTTTAAGGTCCACTTCATTAAGCCCTTCATTTTTCTTTTGGGACAACCAAATCTCCACAGATTAAGAAATACAGGCAAGATAGAAACCCCACTTGAATTTCAGATTACAGCAAGCAGCTATAGCAAAATATAGCAAATGGCAGGTAAATTTTGGCACATGACACACATGAGTTGGAGCTTTTGTGCAAAAGAAAGGAAGCTCTTCTTCTTCTAAATGCTGTTCCTTATTGTTCTGAAGACAGAGTAGGAACAAGAAAACCAATAAATATAAGAGACTGAATGATTAGTATTTCTGAATAATAAACTGAGGTATAAATGTGTCATATTGTAACTGTGTTATGCAACAGCTACATCTCTTTCCAAAATCATGTTTTCAGCTGCATAATCCTAGGAAAAGATTGGACTGTTTTAAAATGTTGCAAAGATATCCTATGTTTGTCTTTCAAAGCTTTTTTGAATGAAATCAGAAATGTGGTACAGTTATGTTGACTATCATAACCATGTGGTTGATAGGTGCTGTTAGTACTTGCATATGAAGACTCCTCCTCATACACGACTAACAAGGACACAGTATCAGTGAATAACAGTGTCTTTGGAGTACAACTTTTTCTTTTTTTCTTTTAACCAGGAAGTTAAAGGATGTTGAGTTCTTATGCTAACAATCCGTAAAAAGAGATGGAAATATGATAGGGCAAAGAAAGGTAGAGCCTACTTAGTTGAAATTTGGCCTATTTTACCTGGAATGAATTATCCTGAATAGAGTATATCTCTATATCAGGGCCATGCTTAGTTGTAAAGATACATGTGTAGAAGAGAATAAATTGGGAGAATAACACTTTATTATAAATCATTGTTGGCATATGTCTCCATCTTATTCACTGCATTGAGCACAGTAAACCTTTGTGGGTTCAAATGCCAGACTATCCAAAAAGCTCAATAGTTCCTGCTAGTCTCCTGCTAGAGGGTTGAAGGAGACTAATTGGTTATTTTCTCATGTCTACTTAAAATGTGTATGAGAGTGTGTGTATACACACACTTCTACGCTAGAATCCATGTTACTTAAGGAAGGCAATTGGATTTCCAGATTTGATGGATTCAGGAAAACCCTTCCCTCCATTCCACTGGAAAAAGGAAGTTTCCAAAGCTGAATTTCTTCCTTGAAAATTAGAACTTTTTCTCCAATCTTGGTTGAATGACAATTTGTAGTTCAAATCCTTTTGTTTCTTCATTTGTTTATGTGGGGGTTTTATATCTTATCCCAAAATCCTGAATAAATATTTCTCTTGACAGAAGCATTGGACTGGTTAGTAGGTTTCACTGTGGCTAGCTAGTAGGTTTCACTAAGGTGGACTGAAGATCTAGTCCCTTCACTTCTAAATTGGCAAGGATGGGCAACTTAAAAGAGACTCTGAGGAGAAAAAGGACACATCTGTGTGACTGTAAATGATTTTGCAACAGCTGCATGGCCAGATGTACATGTGTACTGTGCAAATATGAATAAGCAGGCATAGTTGTGCCCACAACCTTATGTATGTATTCCAAAACTCAGATGAGGAAAGGGTACACTATATTAATTGTTCAGTTGGGTTTTTTCCCCCTAGATGCAGTTCTTGCATTTTAAGAGGTTTGAATTTCTCTGCCCTCATTCGTCCCTATTCCCTGAACCAAACTGACATCACAAAATATCCCCTAAATTTTGCAGCCCTCCAAGTTTACTTTGCAATCAAAAAAGACAAACTGAGCAGATTTAGATAAACATATCTAATGGGCCTACAGCTGTTCCAGACATTTCAGCACAGACGCAGATGTTAGCTTTTAATGATAAATGTTCTGGAGTCCATGGCTTATGTTAAACTGTTATATGTGTTTGAGTTCATTTCAACTAATTGATGAATTGTGATTAGCAACTAATCAGTTTTGGTGATTAGCCAAGACTGCTGTGTGGCTAGCTAGCAGCAAACTACTCTGGAGGGCAGCACCTTTGTAGAGTTATCATTCAACAAAATCATTCCATTCTATGGGTTGTATCCGTCTTCTTTTTCACAATATGCATGGGCTATTTAGTATACGGGTGGTCTCCTGTCCTCAGATCCAAACCTGTTTACCTTTAGAAGCTCAGTTGAAGCAAGCGTACTTTCGTAAACATTGATTATAGCACTAGTGGAACATGTTTCTTCAGCTGCACACTATAAAAAAGTGGAACTGTAATTGACTTTCCATACCATTAAGGGACATTGTGGCTTTTCCATGCAGTCATCCCATTGTATTATTCCATTCCTAAGTCCTTAGCACTATTCTTTTATCTTTTTAAAAGATGTAGCTTTGACATAGTCAGGAACTTAAAGCAGCTAAACCTAAACCTAACCTAGATAACCCTTAATATCAATTTTGTTTGAGATGTGGTTCTATTTTTAAATTTACTTTTAATTAGGACCAAAATATCTTCCCAGCTTTAGCTCTGTTACAGCAAAACACTGCTTATATTGAACTTTCTGAAGAGTTCTATCCCTTTGATGTCATAATGCAATATGTTTCCAGATATAACTATCATGCTTTCCTGAAAATAAGACCCTGTCTTATATTTTTTTTGAACCCCGAAATAAGCACTTGGCCTTATTTTCAGGGAGGTCTTATTATCTTGGGGCATGTGGAGCAAGATGGAGTTCCTCTTGCCATCTTACCTGATTTCCAGCTTGGCATTTAAATATTTTTGGGGAGGGCTTATTTTCAGGGGGAGGTTTATTTTAGTGCATGCGCTCAAAAGCCCGACTGGGCTTATTATCAGGGGATGTCTTATTTTCGGGGAAACAGGTTATTTTAACAAGTAGTGAGTGATAAGGACTGGAACAATATTTTTAAAAAATTGTTAGCGTAGCTTAGTTTTAATGTAATACTTAAGCATTAGAGGGTTAATTTTTTAAAAATTGAAAAGCTACTATTGGTCATACTGATAAGCTATGATTGGAAAGAATATTCTTTCATTAGTAACACACTTATACAGAATTTTGCTTCTATTTTATTTTAGACTGGGAGTGTGATGATGTGTGTGTGTGAGAGAGAGAGAGAGAGAGAGAGAGAGAGAGAAAGAGAGAGAGACAGAGAGAGACAGAGAGATTCAGAGAAAGCAATTAGAAAAGCAATTAAAATGGATGATGATTAAAAGGGCATCTAGTTAAATTGCAGGCATGATGATGAAATCTTTTGGTCTCCCCAATCTTTTTTTTAATACAGTTTTTATTAGTTTATAATATAAAATATAAAAATACAAAAGCAAATAGTAGGAAAAATAAGGGAGGGGAAAACAAAGGAGAAGTGTAGAAAAGAAGGGGAAAAAAACAAAAAAGGTGTTGATTTCCAACTCTTTCTGGTGCAATAGAATAAAACACTAACATCAAACCTCAACTTTTTACTTTTACATAATACCATAAACTAGCCATTTCAATAACAACAAATCTATCTAAGCAGTAAAAACCAAAAATCAAACTTTCATTTTTTTCCCACCTCAAGCACAAAGAGCAGAAGTGGTTTCCAAGTAGAAACAAAAATAATTGTTTTTTTTTCTTTTATCAAAGCAGTCAATTTAGCCAACTCTGCTAACTCCATAAATTTTTGCAGCCATTCGTCCATTGTGGGGATTGAAGTGTCCTTCCATTTCTGTGCATAAAGTAGTCTTGCTGCTATCAATGTATATAACATCAAAGTTCCAATTTTTTCCCCAAGTCTTTTTCCATTAAACAAATCTAATGCCATACTTTCATAAAAGAAAAGTGCTAAAGGCATCTTACACTTGAGTGACTTTGTTATTCCTCCTCCAACTGAACAGTCATGGAAAACACCACCTACAAGAGAATCAAGAGAATTATAAATGAGAGAGGTAGTATTGTGCAGACACCATCACATTGGAGTAAATAAATCATGGTTACTGTACCATAAACTTTTACTGGAGAACAGCCTTGGCAGTTCCAGACTGTAATCCAGGTATCAGACTGGAAGTAATGTCCCAAACAAGATCATGTTATTTGAAGCTCCAGACTACTGTAGGAGCCAAATGACTTGGTCCCATGTATTGGCCTGAGCTCAAATTCCCCAACTCAGATCAATCTGGGTATTAGAAGGGCATCCAGTGCATAGGATAAAGAATCAAGGTCCTCTAAAACGAGCCACCCCATTGAAATGTTTAATAAGGGGCAAAATGTTATATGCTCTGAGAATAACTACATTTATTTAATCCAATCAGTGCATTTTGTCTTGGGCCCATCCATTTCTTTATCTTTCTGACTTGTCCATTTTTTGGAAACTGTGCTCAGCCACCCTTTAAAGGTTACATGTGTGGTGCTCAACTTGAAAAGGGTCACACTCCCTATTGTAAGTTGTCTTTTGTCATTTCTTCCTAAGCCTAAATGAATACACTCACACTGCAATGAAAAAACTAAATGTTAAAAAGTTATATTTATGTAGTTACTTACCAAGCACATCTAAATTATGTTAAAGTAACCAGAATATCTTTACTTTTGAGCATCCTTAATGTTTGGAAATTGAAAGTTGAAAAATTTGACACAATTTACCTAGTACTTTAACTAGTGCACTGTTTTTTATGTTTTACCCAGAGCTTAATGGGCTAGATCATGCAACAGGATCAGCCCCAAAGAGCAAAACTAAGGTTATTACCAACCAAGTTTAGGAGTTCGTACAAAGGTAGCCGCTAAGTATTCAGCTGGTGAAGCATATTGTCTGAACACAGCCATTTTGGAAGTAATGATTTGCTCATTAGAAAGAGAAGGTGTATAACACATACTAGAAAGTCCTTGCCTCCACCAGAACACAAATGCTTTGAAACTTTTTTATGTGACAAGCACATAAAAAGATCAGCACTTCAGTCAAGCTGTTGTGACTGTTAATGGTAATTTTCTTGACACCCCCATCCCTTAAATGCCCCTGCATAACTTTTGGCATTTTTCCCTCTACTATTTACCTAGAAACCACCTAAAAATAATACACACAATGCCAACAGGTCAAAGAGTGGATGAACCAACTTTCTGACTCCAGAAGAACAAATGATGTTAAGCAACAACTTATTTGAATCCATTTCTGTCTAAACTTCAAACCTTCCCCCCCTGCAGAAGACAATCTAAACGGTAAGTAACAGACATTGACAGAAGCAGCCAACACCAGAATGAGGAGAGCTGCCCAGATGTTCCTTATTTTAAAGTCAAGTTTTGTTTTACATCTTGTTTATGTGCTAAGAGATACCCAAGGTTGTTTAATTCTGTGTTATTATCTTGATCAACCTTTTGTAAGCAGATCTGAAAGTGGAAATCTTTCATAATCTCAACATGGAAAGGGGATTATGTGGTTATTCTTAGGAGATGGGAAAGGTTTTTTTTATAGGCACTGGAACTCATGCTACACTGTGGCCATGGAAAATGTTTTCCTTTCACCTTTAACCAATTGACAAGCTTCAAATCCTCATCTATCCATCCACCTGCCCTATTTCTAAATAACCAAATTTGGCTCAGAACACTGCTGACAGATTAAAAATGAGAGCAGTAAAATTCTGAGTTCCTTTTAGGGAAGTGATTTTATATAAAAGTGATAAAAGAAAAACAATTGGGTGACACAAAGAGCAGCATTAGTTTTTGAGGCAAATCTTTAAGAACACCTTTTGAATCCTTGCACACATGAAATAATGAACAAAGGTTTGCTTGCTTGTTTCTATTTTGAGCCTCTTGTGTCCACAGCAACTCTGGCCAGCTTCAATTATTTATTTATTTTAAATCAACATATTTTCAAGAAAAAAGAATATAGGTAACAAAGACTTTGGGAGATGGGGTGAAGAGATGCTGACTAGGAAATGATGAGATAAGAGAGGGCATAGCCTGCATTCAAAAGTTACCCTTCCTAGTTTTTCAAGATGTAAAGAAGATGGGTGAGAGATTTGTACTTTCAGACTTGCAAGATTCTGTTAATGTAGTCTTACAATAAAGTAGAATTAACTCATCTGGTATGTTCTCTGTCTGTTTTATCTGGTAAGACTGACAACAGATGACTAGAAGACAAAAACAGAAAGCAAAAGGGCTCAACCACTATCCTTATCCAGGGCATAGAAAACAATAAGTTCTTTAACAATTTGTGAAAAGCCAAAAGGGCAGAAGCAGAATGGTTCTCCAGGAGGATATCATTCCAAGGGAAGGACACATCACTGAGAAGTAGTGTTCCACTTCCTTCCTAAAGTGGAGCTGCTTAACGATAGAACATGGAGCATGCCCACTTTAGCTGACCTCACTGGATGGGT